TTACCTAATTGTTTTCTTGCACTGTAGACTGTGTTGTTTTTTTTGTTTTTTGTTTTTTACTGCTTTTGTTTTTCTGAAAAGTAATTTTTATGTATTGTAGACTATTTGGTACAGTTTTCCCTGGTGACCCAGCAGTAAGGAATCTGCTTACAATGCAAGAGACATGGGCTTGATCTCTGGGTGGGAAAGATCCCTAGAAGAAGGAAATGGCAACCCACTCCAGTATTCCTGCCTGGGAAATCCCATGGACTGAGGAGCCTTGCAGGCTACAATCTGTGGGGTTGCAAAAGACTCAGACACGACTTAGTGACTAAACAGCAACAACAACAATATTTGGTAGGAAATTGTAAAATGAAAAATAACTATTATATCTTAATATCTGAGATAAGCATTCATTACATCTTAATATCTGAGAAAAGTCCTAGGAATAATTTAGGATATAGGTGCTTTGGTGTTTTTGTTTAGTTGCTAAATCAAGTCCAACTCTTTTGCCATTTACCGCATGGAGTGTAGCCCACTAGGCCTCTCTGTCCACAGGATTTCCAGGCAAAAATAATAGAATGGTTTGCCATTTCCTTCTTCAAGTGGTCTTCTCGACCCAGGGATGAACCCACATCTCCTGCTGGGAAGCCCACGTAAAAGTGTTTATATGTTTTTTATAACACATATGCTTTTTCTAATATATATGCACTCACACATACATACAGATCAACATTTATATATGCATATAACCAAAAATTTGCATAGCCTATGTATATTATATACACAAATTGTTAAAAATTGCTATTTTAATATCATAACCATTTTACAATCTGCATTTTAAGCTTAATGGTGTACTGTAAATTTTTACATATTTAATGAAGGTTATCATTATATCACATATAATTTATTTAACCAGTTCACTATTATGGAATATTTAGTGTTGCAGTCTTTTACAGACCAGGACCTGGGGACCGAAGTTGACAAAAGAAAGAAAGAGAGAGAGAGCAGTATCTCTTGGGCTATGTGGAAAACCAATAAAGCCCATATACAGGACTTGTACTGCTCACAAAGGCACAGGGCATCCTCTCAAGGAGGTCTTGAAAGCCCGGGCGAAAAAGTGAGCTCGGTAGGTTTTCACTCTCCGAAGAGAATGAAGACAGAAAGAAGGATGTGGGGGACCCAAGGCTCTAGTGGAACAAGGGTATTTTATTAGCAGAAATGCATGCTTATGTATCTTCAGTAAAATGATTACTCAACCATTTCAAAGAATGAAATTCCACCAGTTGCAACAAAATGGATAGTCTAACACATACAAGGTTGCTGAAGAGAGTCACTGAAGGGAGTTACTGAAATGAATCCAAGCAGGTGCCCTTTCCCATGATCTCAGTCCTGAGAACTGTGTGCAGCTCTACTCATTCCTGGAATAGGAACTGATAAGGAACAGAAAGTCCTTGAGAAATGGCATGCAAAGGAAGAAAATGAAACATATTGAATTCCTTAAAGTTGAACGTCCCCTGACAATTTAGGTTATTTGAATTTGAATTTCTTTCATTGCAATTACAGATCAATATTGTTTCATATATACCTTATGCTCTTCTGTTGTTAATTGCCTATTTATTTTAAAAAATGAGATATTTGTGTTCCTTCCTCCTAAAGACTATTTACCCTATGAATATCATATACATTAAAACTATTTATCTTTATTTGTTGTGGGCATCTTAATTATGTTCAAGATATTTTTGGATTTATAAAAAAATTTTGTTTCAATTAATCAAATTAAGAAATCTTTGTACTTATGTTATATATTATTATCTATGTGTTTCTTTTCTTTTTTTTTTAATTTTTTTTTTCCATTTATTTTTATTAGTTGGAGGCTAATTACTTTACAAAAGGCCTTATAACTTTGGAGTTTAGAAAATTATATACATACATTTTATTAAAGCTCTTCGATTATTTTACTTATTATATTAATACATATTTCTGATTTTTATTTTGGTAATGGCAAAAGGTAGAGAACAAAATATTTTTGTATTTTAATTACTCAACCGTCTCAGCACTGTGGAAATGCAACTTGTAACATTTACCCTGTACTAAGTCCCTATGATCTGTTCTACACATCTGTCTCTACCAATGACAGTTATCACACTGTCACTTACATTTCAATCTTTGGTAAAAGTTAACCTTGTTGTCAACTGCTTTGCTGCAGAAGGGTTCTTACACTAGAAATGTGTATTAATCTGATGGATGCAGACAGAGCTTGTGAATGGTCAAGATAGTGACCTTGTATCAATGCCTTCATTTTTTTCTGATTATTTCTTACATTGTTTTTAATCTATGACTTATTGGCTCTATCCATTTTATATATTTCCCTGTTTTCTTAGTTTTTAATCCATAAATGATTAAGTGACATTAATTTAAAAGAATTATATTGATTTATGCCTATGAAATATGGTAACTTTCTTGTATTCATATGGTCTGTTTTTCTCATTAGTGAACTGATACTTGTGTCTTCCAATTTTCATTTCTATAAATGTTTATTGAGAATTCTTGCTGGGCACTATTTAAGGAGCTATAGGGAAAGAAAAATGGATGTCTTTGACAAACTTAGAATCTTATGGGGCGATTCACCATTTATAAAAATAATAGCAACATAATAAAATAATAGTTATTGAGAGTACTGTTTGCAAGCCATTATAAAGGTAATGTGTATCTCCTTTAATCCTTGTAATAGCCCACATAACCTCCAGATATTTTTAGACATTTTCGCTTACTTCACTCAGCAATTTTATTATTGTTGCCTTCTCTGAGCAGCTTTTCTGTCCAGAACTATCTAAAATATCAGTCCATGGATTTACATGTAAATCCATGGCTAATTCATTTCAATGTATGACAAAAACCACTGCAATGATGTAAAGTAATTAGCCTCCAACTAATAAAAATAAATGGAAAAAATAAATAAATAAAATATCAGTCCATGTAACTGTCAATGCTATTACCTTGCTTTGTTTGTCTTTATAGTATGAATTATAGGACATTATTAGTTTAGCAGTTTATTTGCTAATCATTTGAGTCCCCTGCTAGGATGAATATTGAGTAGAAGACTATGAAAAATGAGTTGCAGTAGTTGATAGTTGTAAGAGGTTAAAGTTTAATTTAATATATAACATTTAACTTCCTTTAAGCTTAAATTGTTTCATCTGTAAACAGATGTAGACTTAGTGCCTCATTCATAGGTTGGTCAGGCTGTTGATTCTTTCCTTCAGTAAATATTCATTGATCTCATACTATGTGGCAGACACTATTCATGTACATGGGGATACAGTAAAAGAGACAAGGCCTGACCTCGTGGAACTTCCATTCCAGTAGGGAAGACAGACAAAAAATAAATAAAAATCACTTTTATAACATAATATGTAATGGCCAAATTAATTTTCTCCTTCCCTACTTCATCCCCATAACCTCAGTATTTTTTCTTTTCCATTCCAAGTTATTCTCTGCTTATCCATGCTTAATGGGTATTATCTCACTCCTTCAAGCAGATTCAAATTCTTAGGCCTTTTCTAAAGATCAATGTTATAGAATAAATGTGGTATTACTCAGGTACCCTACTATAGCAGAACTATATACCCTTACTTTTCTGGATCCTTTTTTATGTATTAGTACATCAAGATTGCTGTTGTGGATTGCTGTTTGGCTCTTTGTTTCCCTTTTGTTTCTGCATCTTAAAGATCTAGTCAGTTGAAAACTTTAGACCGTCTTCGTTTTAATAAAAATATTACTGTAGATTTACTGGTTTACAGGATTTGCTTATGTTTATGTATGTTTTTCCATTAGTAAGACTGCTTTTGAGACTTTGAATGGCTGAATGTCTGTGAAGATTATTAGCAAATATGACATCAAGGTTCTGAGTGTGATTTCATAACAAATTTAGAGATCACTTTTCAAGGACATACAATATCAAACTCAGTAGTTAATAGGGGAGTTGTTTCTAATTAAATCTTTTTCTATTTTAACTCACCAAATTGGTGTTAAAATCACCTCAGCATCCTGCTGCTTTACTGCTCCCAGTCCTAGTTTGGATTCTACACTATCAAATGCATTTGGTTGGGAAATAACTGGTCTATTTGCTAACCTCCCTGCCTCTGTGTGTGTGCACGCACACTCAGTTGTGCCCAGTTCTTTGTAACCCCATGGACTATAGCCAACCAGGCTCCTCTATCCATGGAATTTCCTAGGCAAGAATACTGGAGCGGGTTGCCATTTCCTATTCCAGGGGATCTTTCCGACTCAGGGATCGAACCTGCGTCTCTTGTGTCTCCTGCATTGGCAGGTGGATGGATTCTTTACCAACGTGCCACTTGCAAAGCTCATATCTGTGTGGGACCCTCCTAGAACCTTGCTTGCTGAGACTGGGAACATAAAGCCATGTTCTAATATCAGTGAAGACCAGTACTGAAGACCAGTTCAAGCTCTACTGAATGTATTACCTTCTACTCCCTATTTCTTTCCACCCATTTACTTTTTATTCTCTTTAGATTATGCATTTTATGAAAATCTTTCTAACTGCAATCATATTTTTGGATAGGGCCTGTATCTTATCTTGTATACTTCCTAACTTACCAGTGCTTACCAGTGTATTATATGTAGTAGATTTTTGCAAGGTGTCTGGTAACTAACAATAAACAAATAAATGGGATACAGACTGTTTGATATTAGTGTTTTAATTTTAAAATATAAATGTAAAAACATCTGTATAAATTAATAAAGCTTCTAATAATGCTATCATAAATATTCTGTTCTCCATCTAAACCCTGTACAGTGGTTTCCATTGTAAACTCATGCTATATTTTACCAAGTACTTGTTCTGCACATAGACAAATTAACGTTAGCCTTTATTTATCTTTTTAAAACTATAGATATTAGTTGACATACACAAATTCAACTACCTATGTCTCATGACTAATCATAAAGATATTATGGAAATGTAATTCCTAATTTTAAGTGTTTCTCTTTTACAGTCACACAAAAAGAAGTGTTAAGAATTTCCCTTTGAGGCTCTGAAGGCTAAAGGTAATGTCCAGTATTTTGTTCAATAGGTTTTCAACTTCCTGAAAAGCTTCATAATATTAAAGACCTTCAGCTTACTCCCTCAGATCTTTTCTTTATTTTCCTTTAACACATTAAACAAACATTTCTATGTATACCTAAAAATAATCTAACATTAGGAGTCAAAAAAGAAAAAGGCTTTTGTTGTTTCAGAATATGTCAGCCTAATTTGATGTTGCAGTACCCCTTCAGCCTTCTATTTGGGAATATACTATGGTCCCTCCCCTGATTTTTGAAGCAGTTTGGAACTCTTCTCATCTTATGCCCTGTCCTTTTCCTAAATAGACACCTTGGCTCAAAGTAAAAAAGTCAGTAGCTATCCCTCTTTAGGAAGAGCTTTACAACTAACTATAAGAAATAAAAATACATTTTTGAGGAGACAACAAAACCATGTAGACAAGATATAATGGCTACTCATAGTCAGAAATCCAGAATTTCAGGCAAGAAGTTTACAATAGATGTGTGGCTGCATTGTGTGTAAAGAGCTCATAGGGTTTGAAGAAAGGTTCTGATACAAGAGGGGGCTGTGATTACTTTGCTTCTTACATGCATGGTTAGATCTTCCAGCAAGAATAGCATGGTAGGGTAATTTATTACAGAGGAGTAAATCACAGATTACATTGGAGGGGGAAGGGGTGGTGTGATCCAACCATCAGTTTTGTGAACACATACACTTAAGCATGTGTGATAGCTTGTTTTTAATTTCTTTACATCGGTGCACACCTCAAACATTCCATTTAGCAGTGGGATATGCAAATTGTTCCAAATGCAGCAGCAGTACTTTCACCTGAATGTCAAAACTGTCAGGGAGCTTTAAATCAAATCTTTATAACATTGAAAAAAAAAAAAAAACAGCCAGCCCCAAGATTGAGGCACCAAACTAACTTCATAAACTTGATTCTCATACTTTCAAAAAGCTCCTGTATGTCAACAGGGTAATGTCAAAGTTCTCATTCACCTGCTTTCTAATTTTAACCTTTTAAGGATTTTATTTTATTTGGCTTAATTATGATATTTTCTACAAATTAATGATAAATGCCTTGATTAATAAAAGCAAATGTCAGAGAAAATGACAACTTGATGAAAAATTAATACTCAGCAATATTTTAAGGTACAGAAGTACTAAAGATGTACTCTTAAACTTCATACTTCATCAGTTCCTTCTGAAGGTGGGTAACCAGAATTTTCCTTGCACTTAAGTTTTCACAGCCACATGTGTAGATGCATTTTAGCATAATTTTAAGCTGTTGTTTTGACTACTAGCTGTTATAGATATACATATATTCTTATCTTTCTCTTTCTTTTGCCTCATAGTATTATTTATTTTTACTTCAAAAAAATCAAAGTAAATTATATTTTGATTTGGTTTTATTGATGAAGCTATCATAATAAACATCCAGATAATAGTGTGTGTATGTGTGTGTGTGTGTATTTCAGGATATCTCATGGAGCAAAATGTAGTAACTAGGGATTGGTTATCTGCTAGACTATTAATTTATTTGGTTATGAATATTCATTTTTTATACTTTAACATTATTAAGTAAAAATAATCTATACATAGAGCACAGCCTTTCAAATGAAAATAGAGATTTTATGGACATTTGCTTTTTTAAAATACATTTTCTCTTGTCTTTCATTAAAATACCTGAATACCAAAAAAGAGTTGTAATTTGCCAATAAACAGTTGGTAAACAGTTGGTTAGATAAAACTGAAGAATAAGAAATATGGCTACTTTATATTTTCTCCTTTTGCTGGAGATCATGGTATTGAAAGTTAAAAATATCTGATTCGTTTTTCCATCTTCACACATATCTGGATGATTTTTGAATGTGAATACTTAAATCGACCATTAAATATTATGCAGGACTGGCACTGTGGAGAATTATAGTCCATGTTGGTTTTATTTTCATATTTCAAAGATAAAGCTACCAACCAAATGAGAGAAGGCACAATGACCTCTTCCGTGCTATGCTTTTGTTTGGTTTGGTTGTTCAAAAATAAGAAGACCCACACAATATACTGTTGATGAAATGGACTCACTTTGACCATCTGTTCCTGTAAGGACATTATGGTCATACCTATCAACAGAAATTTTTGCCAACTAATGCTAAAAATTCCTTTTTTTCTGTAATATACTGGAAATTTCTGGGTAGGTGTTTTGGGCATGTTGCTAAGTGCAATAAGATAAATCAGAGGGGAGTGTTGGTCTACATCCTGTAAATACAATATATTGCCAATCCCAAGGAAAAACCTTCTTCAATGGAGATTTCTAGTACTATTTAAAATTGGAGATGAATTGTGCTGAATCTTCCCTTAGCTGGCTCTAGGTTTTATTGTTGTTGTGTCTTGCCTGGTTCCAGACATCCAGTCTGTACTGGCAAAGCTGCTTGATGAGGAGAGGCTACCAACATCGCTGCACTGACTGCTTACATACCTGCCATGAATAATAGATCTGTCAGCTAGTTAATCACTGCATTGTAACTGTCTCTGTTTCTCCTTAGCTGATCACTGCCCAGAGAAGTTTAGGTTCCATTGTAACATGAAGCTTCTATTATGTTTCTATACCTGCATTTATTTGTATGCAAAAGCATTCATTCTTCTCTTTTCATACACCAGTAAATAAGACATGCCCCACTTCTTTGACAGTTCTTAAATTACATAGTAAACAATGTACTTTTTTCCCCTTGTTTATTCTATTCTTCAGCCTCTCATAAATTTACTTCTGCATGTAAGCCAATTAAATTTTATTCATTAGTTATAAGATTTGGAAATATTTACACCTGCCTCACAATCCACAGTTTTATTAAGTTTTTAATTGAGATTATAGTTATTTGGTGTAAGTACTATAAGAGAACATCATCCTTTTCCCAGATGAACAAAGGAGATAGACTGAAACCTGAAATAGCCTCTTAAAGACTTTTGCTTGGTGTTAAGTTGTTTGATCCTAGAAATGAGGACAACCAATTCAACCTTACACAGTTAGAATCTTTAGATTTAGGGAGTTGAATTATGATATTTTAAGTCTGATGCTGATGTTCTTTGACAAATCTAAACCTTACAGGAAAATAAACAGCGTTAGACTGTCTCTTATTCAGTGGAAAAACAAACAAACAAATTAGACCATGTATTCTCTGTAAATGACTTTTTAGAAATTGCATTCTCTCCTCTAAGCCTATAGTATTTTATACTGCAAGTTCAGGTAAATGAGACCTCACTGGTTTGAAACTATTAAGGTATTTTCCAGAGTTGCTTAATGCATAAGTTAAGTGCCAGTAGAATGATCAGTTCTATTAAATAGGATTCATTTACCATATGTGTTTCTTTTGGAAGATTGTTTTTATATTAATTGGGTAAACTATGCTCATGGAACACACTGATAAATAGAGTAATCAGAGGATGCCAAGAAAAACCATGACTGTTGTCCACAAAGTGTAGGGGATTTTCTTGTTGAAATGCTGCATTCATTTTTCCTCCCTACCTACCATTTCTCTAAATATCCAGGTCTCTTTTGTATCTTTTAGTGATGACAAGATGTTTTTTATTCCTCTAATGAAGTGGGAAGCAGATTAACATACTTTCTTCTTGGGGATTAGATTACTTTTTGTAGTACTGTTCAACATATCTTTGTAATACTCCCCGACCCCTACCCACAACTAATTAGTGACTTTCAGAATTAGGGAAAATCTTAGTTGTATAGTGGCTCTATATTTACCAGTGATCAAGGAAGTGTTACTAATATACTTGTCAGTGTTAAAAAAGAATTAAGTAAATAAAGGGCCAGATGGTTGAGCCCAGGACCTATCCAGAGCCCAGTATGTGCGGGCTGGTCCAACAGAATGAGAAACATTAAAAGGCTAAGTGGAATCAGAGTTTGGCTTTCACTTACAAGAAAAAAGAATATTTTTTCAAATGTGTCTTCTATGATATAATGATTTACATGTTTGAATCTCCTTTGTACCAGTAACATTTGAGTGCATGTATTTCCTTGTGCATCAAGAGCTAATAATGTTTATGAGAGTCTCTCTTCTGAGATGTGTAATAGGACATAGTAGTAGCATTGAAGTAAAGCAGTTACCATGCAGCAAACATTTTTTTCTGGTTCAGAGAAGAGTTCTTTGTTCTCAAAGTTATGTTTTTGCTATTAAAACTTACTTATTACACTTTATTATAATTGAATATCTGTCTCTTTCATAGACTCTATGATTCATGATATGAAAAAATTTGGTTATATAATGTTTGCTATAGTACAAGGCCAGATGAGGAATTAGTAAATATCCCTTAATGTTTTATTGTAATAAAAGCATTATAATAAGTGGTTATAATAAGATTTAATTTAAACTGAAGAAATTAAAACAGCAAATTCCTTTCTTTTCCTGTAATTGTCTTTACATGCATCCATAAACATCTTATTTCCCACTCTACTTTCAATCCTTTTCATTTATTTTATCTTTAATATGTACTTTTGGAAGCTGTTTTAAATTTTTTGGTTTCTAGAATAGATACATGGGTCAGCAAATTGCTGGGTAGGTAAACTGAGTAAATAGAGTATACATTATTTTTTGGATTTTTCTTCCCACGGTAACATACATAATTCTAGAAGAGATTAGCTAACTATAAGCCTCCTGCCTTCCTCCTCTTCCTTCTTTCCACCCTCCAGCAAATATTTATTGAATGTGTACTCTGTGCCAAGAACTTCCTAGGGGTTAGATATAGCTGTAGAAAAAAAATGAGACATAGTTTTTCCCCTTTGGGGGACTCATAAGAAAGAGTGGATGAGTGAAATTTGCTCAGAAATTGAGTCAGAAATTTATGTCTGACTCTTTGCAACCCCATGGACTATATGGTCCATGGAATTCTCCAGGCCAGAACACTGGAGTGGGTAGCCTTTCTCTTCTCTGGGGGATCTTCCCAACCCAGGGATTAAACCCAGGTCTCCTGCATTGCAGGCAAATTCTTTACCAGCTGAGCCACAGGAGAAGCCCTTATAAGAAAGAAGAAGGACTAATAAGAAAATAAAATACACACATAAGTAAACATTATAACATAGATATATAACTGACTTATTATATATATAAAAAGATATAAAAATGACTTATTTTTATGGACTTCTGAATTCTGACTTGGGTTAAGAAATTTGGTCTTCAATGGCCTGCCTTCTTAATAGAGGAATTCTTCTAGATTTAAAAAATATAGGCAGGCAAAATTATTTCAGATTATGTCTTGAAGGGTGGGTGGCCTTGGGATGAAGATAGGTGCAATGATACTTACTTTCAAGGTGAGTCATAAAGAAAACAATTTTCTAAATCTGGCTTACTATATATAATATATGTTACCTTCATAAGTATTTTCAATCTCAGATTGAAAAACAATGGAAATTTCTAGTATTTTTTAAATTATAAAAATTATTTCTTTAAAGATTATTTATTAATGCTCCATAGTTTGAGTTTATCTGTAAATTGAGTAGTAGCAGTGGTGATGAAAGACTAAGTGATAGAAGTGTATATTTTTTCCTTCCTTTCTTTGGACATTTGTGTGGAATATTTTTGTCTCCAGATCAGATTGTTCATTTTTCTCCCTTTGGTTGTGTATACAGCTTGGCCTTCCAGCCTTGCATGCTCATTCAAAGGCATTCCAAGTCATTATCCTGGACTTCAGCCTTGTCTAGTAAAAAGGCCATTTCCTCCATCAACTGTCCACTTGGACATACATTCTTTTTACTCTCAAAAAGACTTTATATGCATTCAGAGTATATTAGTTGGATTTGTCAGATTACTCACAGATAATCAGTTTTTTAAAGTTATAATTTAAGCTATGACCTCTCAAAATGCGAATTATAAGGTTTGACCCTTTGGTTCACTATTTGA